CAAAACAAACGTTGACATTAAAATGAATATATAACAAATTTGTTATACACAACACATATCTGATACTACAAGTCACGCATATTTCTAAATACAAATTCAATCCAAACAACATTCATATTAAAAATAAATACATAATAATAAATTCGTTGTACAACATTCTTGTTCTGCTGTAGAGAAGAGCTACAAATCTCTCCAGCTGTAGCATTGCTTCATCACGAATAGATATCGGTTCATCCAAGGGAAATTATTATAATACTGTTATGGTAAGAATTACATCAATGTCTACAGACCTTATCTCGACTTTGCGATAATCTTTGTTTGCACAATAAAAAGTGCTGATGAAAATCTTTGTTTCTGCTTCCTAGTGGTCACGTGACACTATTTACAGACCAATGGCACTTTCATGTCTAAATATGGGACTTAAGTCATGTGTACTGTATATCTTCTTTTCTAGAATAAATAATGTAGCCAGGAGCTTTGCCAGAAAGAGATAACAATCAGTCTTATTGTCATTAACTCAAAGAACGGTTTGACAATTTTGGGGAAGAGGTATTGATGCTTTGACTACAAAACGTTATCCATTTTGACTTATTGAATATTTAAGACTGAGAGCAAGATAACTACCTACACACCGTTTAAACGATTATCTGACCGCAGATGCATGAGGATGTGTGGTATACAAATCGTATCTGCATAGTCCTGAAAGGTGATACAGCTTTTGGGTGTCCACATGTGGACAATTTCAGAAACATATAAAGTTTTAATACCAACATTATTAGTAGATGGACACACGTTTCAGGGCAACCAATGAAATCAAATTTGTGCATTCTTTCAGTTTACACATGTCAGTCAGGAATGATGGAAAAGACTGATTTTCATGCTTAAAGAATTCGTCCATATCAGTTAAAGTGAATTAAGCTGGTGTGATATGATATATTGACTTTTTTGAAGGAATTGTTAAACAAGGACAGTTTGGTCTTGCTTATAATGTCTGTGGTTGGTGCAGTGCACTGAACCATCCTTTCCCCAACAAAAAATATCATTCTGCTGGTCCCTAATTTTCTTGAAAGTTTTCAGAATGTTGACAACATTTTGGCTCATGTTTTTCTTTGTGTATGACGAGTATTTTGTAGGCTCATTGTAACCTGTTCAACTAGATTGAAACTCTTCAACATTTGTTTATTATTTTAGAACCAACATTACTCTACTTAAAAAGTGCAGTAATCCTTTGTCTCAATCAGTTATATATTTAACTCTTAAAATATATTAGTTTGGAAGAAATATAGAATGAATAACATAAATGCTTTAGATATATATGTGATTACCTTCAAATTATGTCTTGGAAATATATACGTTCATCTACTGTACTTTTATATAGAAAACTTCCTGCGTTGTTTGATACCCGTTGTAAATTTATAGTTTGTCAAACACAGAGTTTATGTGTGACTCCTAAACATTGTCAGATTATGTTTATCGTGCTCTTACATGAAAGAGCACATTATAAGCTAATTACATTTTAATTTTTGTGCTTGTTTTACATTTGAACAATTCCTGTGTAATCTGGACCTAACCCGCTAGATCTAATAAGTTTAACCGACCCGTAAAAAACGCTGGTCTACCAAAAGAGTCTACAAACAGACCTACAAAGCTGATCTACAAAAACTGATATTCCAAAAGCGTCTAGAAAACCACTTTAGTGGGTTCAAAATACCTAAATTAAGCTTTGATTTACGATAAGCGTCTACAAAGTATGTGCCAAAATAGTTTTAGTGTCAACACTACGCAAGTAACAAACTGAACTGCCTGAAAGCTCTGCAGACATGCGAAAAACAATTATAATATAAAGTGATGGTTATGAAAGAATGGGAAACTGGTTCATAATTAATTTGGGATGTATCTTTTTTGTCATTATTCTCATGCCTGTACGTGTTAAACTGAATTGTTCAGGTTGAATGTGAGTTTATACGTTAGTGAAACCATTAATAAATAAAAATAAAAATATGTAATTAAAAATGAAGCCAAAATTTAAAGCTTTTCTAAGCTATAAATAATTGTACATCAGTTGGAATATATAACAATTGAATAGTATATACAATTAAATATCTGAAGGTGGTTCACAATATAAACTTCTAGATAATCACAGAAAATAAAGAAATGCAACAGATAGGTATATTAATAATACAATAACTACGTACGTTTTTCGATTCCAGAAACCGGGGTAATCCATCTTCTGAGATAGCTACGTTACTTTGAAGTCCCATTCCAGCTACAAAAAGAGCATCTTTTAGAAGAAACATTAGAGCCCTCATCATGAATGACAGAAAGAGCTGTATGTGGAGGTTATTTCTTGGACATTGAAGTTTCCTGAAAAATAATAAAGATTTGAATAACGTCAATCAAAACTCTGGTCATGAAATACCTAAAAACTTCGTATCTAATTTATTTAGGGCAGAAAAATGTATAAAAACAAACAAACAAATCTTAGCTCGGAACTAATTATTACTATGTTATTTCTGAATTAATATTTGGAAGAAAGATGCCAAGCAAAGCAAAAACAAATCAGCTTTCCAGATTTATCTTATAAAATGTGTACATAAAGTTGTATTGAATTTTACAAATCAATTAAAGTTTCCAGTTGCTCAAATATATATATTTATGGTGAATAAGAACTTGCTCGTTCGGTGTCCATTCTGAAAAACAAATAGTCCTAGCTTAGATTACCTGGTGAAAAACCCTAATATATACATGATGGGGCAAAAGTAACTATACAATTGGTAGTATACGGTTGGTGTTAAAGAAAATGTTACAAATGTTATAATTATTGTTTGTTTCAGATTCACAATTATAAATTAAACTGTGTTCTAAATGAAAAAAAATGTTTAATTTTTTTTTTAGTTTTATTTTTAAACACAAGGCTACATAATGGACTATCTGTGCTGAACCAACCACGAGAATCAAAACCCGATCTTTAGCGTTATAATCCCTCAAACTTACCGTTGAGTCACCGAAGGGCTGAGAAAACTGTATAGCGATTTCTGTTCTACTCTGTATATAAAAACAACTGATTGTGCGAGACCTAATCAGAAAACAAAACTGGAAGAATAACTGATATGAAATCAATAAAAACACAAAAACAGAGATTATGAAAACCAATCAGAAAAGAGAGTCAAAACCATTAAACAAATTAGAAAAAAATATAAAAAACACATTTTGGACTCAACAGGCTTATGAGGCTAAATATCAGGAATCAAACGGCTGTTCTCTAGCTTGGCGCTTATTAGCTAAGTAAGTTATACATGGAAAACAAAATAAATAATTTGAATGATAAAATCTCATAAAGAATCTAGAAACAACAGTAATGGAACACACGAAAAAGTGATGGTGGAGTAAAGACCATTATATGATAAGAAAATTGAGCTACATAAGCCTAAAATAAAACTGCATAAAATCAGAGACTTTGGAGCTAACTTGGCTTAAGACAAATTTCAACTTCTTTTGTATAAGCAATCTGCATTGCCTCTCGTTTCTTCAAAATGAATAACTTCAGAACTTGGAAAAATTATGTAGGGAAAAAGCTCTAAGATTTTAAGAAACAAAATATACCTCGAAATTCATTTTTATAACTTGAACTTGTATAGCGAAGGTATGAAAACGTTAAGGCAGATGATACCTTAAATTATGGACAATTATAATTTGATTTTAGAAAATTGTATTTATTAAGTAAGTGATAAAGAAATCGTTCTTTTACCAAATATTTGTATCGTAAATGAATGATTTTTGATTTCTATGTATGACAAACAGAAAGTATTTTTATAGTTCTTGTAGTGGAACGAAGAAGCTAATAAATGAAAAACAAAAAAGTAAATAATATATCATATAGATACCTAAGTTAAGTCTCCCTTACTTCAAATATGAAACTATATTTTTCTTTGTAGAGCTATTAAGAGGATTAAAAGAAAATAACGACGACTAGCCATATAAAATAAAGAATAAAAGGATATCGTAGTTTTACATTTATATCTGTAAAGTCGAAAAGCATTATAACCAGAAAAACGTAACCAATGATATTTTTATTCAGGCGTATGTATTGGATATAATATAATTCATTATAAAGAAAAGCTTCGTACTTCTGTGACATGCAGGCATATCGTATGTTTTCTACCAGGTTTAACGATATAGAAATGTTTAAAAATTCCGTTTAGAATGTTTCTATGCATGGCCAAGTAATCCAGAAAGTCGTTGATATTACCTTGTTTTAATTGCTTTGTTTCTTTGTTTTCCTTAGTAGATATTGTCTATTTTGCTACGAGGATATTGCAGTATCATATAACATCCGGGTTGAAAGGATTAGCACTGTAATAAATTTTGTTAGCCGAGTTTACATTATTTAAATGCTACAGCCGAACAATACTTTGAAGAAACAAAAGTCATGAGTTGTTCCTGTCGGATTCAGGCACTTTCTCGGTTCATTTCTACTTGGTTTTAATCGTGATAAGTCGAACAGAAATTGATCTTGAGAATAGAAAGTTGATGAGCTATTCGCTGGTCCAGTAGGGGCGACCATCCACTTATTCACTATGCAAATACACACACAGTTTTGTTATGTGTTTAAATAAAGATTTTCTTCAATGTCCATCAAATGTGTCTGATCAATTTATTTTTCACGCAACTTAAAAGCCAATCAAGGTATCAAACACAGATTAATCTACTTATGTTCTGATCGAATCTACTGTTACAAGCGAGTCTAAATATCAGATACTTGTCGAGGAATCAGTTCATCTAAAAATACCACATTTCAGTGAAACTTTGTATAATTTTGTATCAGTTTATTTTGTTGAGGGTTCTTAATTTTGACAAGCAGGGGAGATATAGAAATATATTAATATATTAAACCAATTCATGATATCAGAGAACTATCTTACTTGTCAAAATGATAAACTATTGCATATAACACTAAACAACTCCATTTGTCATTATTATAACCAAACTAGTTACAATGGTTGCAAAATACAAAGTATACAAGGTTCAACAATTCGTTGATGTTGGTGATGTTGGAGTTAACTTCAACGAAAGTTGAACCTGCTGTGCTTTGTGTTACTGTCTTTAACCATATTCCATTTTGTTTTGGTGTTACTATTGCTTTTATATTGGGATATTCCCACATTTAATCAGTAATTTGACACTAATTCCTTTAGATATTTAGTCTCTCTTTTTTGTAAACACAGTAAACGATATGGCAAGCCTTAAGATGTGAATATTGCAAAGTAATTTGTTAGGTTAATGAAAACAGGTAGGGGGCGGGGGAAGTTCTACTAAAACCAATCAAGCCTTTAGGCTTAATATTCAAGATAAAAAATATTCTGGACTGGGTTCATTTTAATTGGAGATTTCAATTGAGATCCTTACTTAGTTCACTGCTTCACCGGCGGTGTTGAACGCAATAACATTAAATGTTTATACTGCATATAAAATAGCATTGAAGAAGACTTCATGTCAAATCCAGCTGACGGATTCTGGCATTAAAAAACACGCACTTGGAATCCTGGGCACAGACGAGAGATATATAAAAGATAGATTTAAAATGCTATTTTTACACACCACTGAATTTAAATCCACACTGGACTGAGGAAGAAGAATGTGGAAAAAACATCTGCAGCTCAGTGTTGGCCTATTGGCTTTATTGCTTCACCAGGTTTCTGTGTTTAATATCACATTGTGCCAACCTTTGTTATGCAGTACTCACTCATGAATATAAATATTCAAACTTTTTTTCTCCTTGGTCAACGGTAAGTTTACGGACTTACAACTCTAAAATACGGGATTCGATGCCCTCCGTGATGGACAAGCAGATAGCCTAATGTGATTTTCCTCTAAAAAATACCATACAATACTACATCCGTAAACTGAACTTTCCAAATTTAAGTTAAATCATTGCATTCAACAATGAAGGTGATTTCAATATTATGTTATATATATTCAATATATATCAACATAGAAAAATCAAAAGAATTATGATTGTGATATAGAATAGTAACTTAAGAATAATTCGAAAAAAATTTCATATATAAATATAAAATATAACATCAGTTAGTGATAAATACCCATAAAGCAGAAATATATTTTATAACCCTTAATATCTGTTTTAAAAAATTACGTGCAATACTACAACTTTAAAGCTTAAAAACAACCACACTAAAGCATTATTTCATAGCTGCGGAAGATCAGTTCAGTCAGGATGCAGAGTTCTAGGAAAGTTAACAAAATATCGTTCAAAAACGTGTTAAGTGATGTTTCCTACTATTAAGAAGCAATTGTATTTGCACGAAATGTGTGTTTATTCTAATCTGCTTGGCCAGTTTCATAAGCATAGGGTATTTTATGACGGATAAGTTACAACACACACACTTTACAAGAAAACCAAGAAGCGTATTATTACACGAAACAGTGCAGTTTAAATTAAGAAACATGATGAAAAATATTTTAAGTCTTCTTATGGCAGGGTTGATTCCTATAAAATTTTCTTATTTTGTTAAAATCTAAACAGTTAAGGAAAATTACAAATATCAAAATTAAGATATACCACTATTAACAGTCATCATTGTGTCATCAGTAAGTTAATTGACTTCTAACGCTAAAATCCTGGGTTCGATTCCTCGTGATGGACAGAAAGTAGATGACCTATTGTGTAGCTTTGTGCTAAACCAAACAAATACTGTTTATAAGATTGCCTCATAATTTCAACGCAAAGCTACACGAGGGCTATCTGCGCTAGCCGTCCCTAATTTAGCAGTGTAAGACTAGAGGGAAGGCAGCTAGTCATCACCGCCAACTCTTGGGCTACTCTTTTACCAACGAATAGTGGTATTGACCGTCACATTATAACGCCCCACGGCTGAAAGGGCGAGCATGTTTGGTGTGACAGGGATTCGAACCCGCGAGTCGAGTGCCTTAACCACCTGGCCATGTTTTCATGTAACAGTTTACTCTTCTAATCAATTCCATCCGAGCCAGTGAAATATGTTTGTATAGTTTTATTCAGGAAAATACTAACGTATGTCAATAACACCATTAACTTTGCCGTGGACTAATAATAATGGTTCATTGCTTTATAAAATGCAGGAATGTTGTTGGTATCAGTGTATTTAATGACTCAATAAAAGAAGATTATTTCATAACATGTTGAATAATGTGAAAAGAAAACTATAAAATTTAATATAAGATCTAACTTGTGAATCGTAGTGATATCAGGGGATGTGAATAAACAGATCAGAAAGAACTCATTAAAACAAACAAATGACAGATAACTGGGTTAAAAGTTGTGAGAAATTAACATATCGTTATCCTATACTTAATTGCTATAGTGAAACCATTTTTAGAGGATATAAAGATGAATCTCATTGCCTTATGTTGCCAAGAACAGACCAACACAATATGTTTAACATTAACCTATGGTAGATGTTTTAGCTTATACAACCGTGTTTTGTACGCTATAGTGTATAATAACGGGCTATTGTAGAAATTTATGAAAAATATTTCTTCCGTTAAATATATACATACACACATCATACAAACATATGTACGTCATATATGTGTAGCACATAATAAAAACTACAACAAATATAGAATACTTGATTGAGTGATACCTAACGATGGGGTAAATCTTCCTGTTTTGTTTGTTTGTTTTTAATTGTGCACAAAGCTACACAAGGGCTATCTGTGCTCTGCCCACCACGGGTATCGAAACCCGGATTCTAGCGTTGTAAGTCCGCAGACATATCGCTGTGCCACTGGGGGGCAGTAAATCTTCTAACAGCTTTAACCATTATTCATAAGTCTCAGAAATTAAAATTAGAATCAGGCAAAGATATGAGTGCCACCTCCAGAAACGTCTTACAACTAATCTAGTATTAATTATATGCAGATAGTTAAAGTTGAAAGGTAGTTGCTGTTAAAGAAAAATGGAGATTAAAAAGCCTAAATAAGTCAACAAACAAAACTGATAACGTGTATATATATATATATATATCCAGATATTGTAGTAGAAGATTTCAACGGGAATTACGAGCTTCCTTAATAGTAAATGCCTCTAATTCCTATAGGGATGTCGGAGTAAGGAGGCGATATTTCAATCTCGTTTCAAGAAAAACAACAACAACATAATGGTTTAACGGGGCAAAGATCTTGCTACTGAGTAGGCCAGTGTACATGATTAAAGACGTCTTGAGCAAACCAGTCCGCAACAGCTTGCCGTCATGGTATAACTGGCTATTCTGAAAAGCACCACTACTTGCAGTGAACCTAGTCCACTGGGATATTTTTGTAGTCCGTTGTAGTTACTATGGTTTTCAGTGCAATTACTGTGGCTATTATATATCCACTAATGAAACCACATGAGACTTTTACCGAGATCTCGGAGTTACACTCTGTCTTCAAACATACACATGACCAGTTTATAGTAAAAGTGGTGAGCAAATCGATTCATGTAGCCAAATAACCTCCCTGGTTTTATATGTGTTCTGAAGTCACAATTTTTTGTTCTTATACCATTATGTGAACAGATGTGTTCTATATAGCTACTTTACTTTGCCATCACAAATTAATTTCTCTAAAACTGGTTATAGGCTTCTTTCATTCAACTGTAATTGCTTTGTCTTTCTGTTCTGTTACAGACTGCAGCTGAATTTGTGGCAGTCTTAATCACATTTGATAGTCTTCCAACTATTGTTGCTCTTTGGAATCGTTTTTATTAGGTGCAGTGTATACTAATATCACCTTAGAGACCATTTCTATTTACAGATCAGCAACTTTACGTTCTTGTTTACAGATGCATAAAGCAGGTAAGTCCCTATTATAATTTTTCTTTCACGAATTGTTAAATCTCTCCTGGAAGACATTGTGTACAAATCCAAACTTAGGAGAGACTGCTAATCATTACATACATAAACTCTAGTCACGTAGGGATATACAGGCATGTCCGCTTACATTAAGGAGTCCAGGTGCTCATTACCATTACCCTGTGTTTTTTAACTATTTTGACCACTTCCTGAATTTAGATATAAATACGTAAACAAGAAATACACAAGTTTAACTTTTCCTAAGAGTGAGAAGTTACGGAACACTAGGCTCAAGATTCGATTCGTAATATGTCGCTGAACACAATTTGCACTTTCACCTAAGGGGGTAGGTACTATCACTCTGAAAGTCAGGTTTTATTTTATTTATAAGTTATATATATATGTGTTAATGCAGCTAAAATCAATAAACTTTAAACACAACACTCGTTTATGTTCATATAAACACTGGGTTTATTGCACTCCATTTTATCCAAAGAACTATTTCTCCCATCGTCCGTGTTCACTTTGATGTCTATAGCTATGCATTGTTGCTCCAAACAGCAATTTCTATTGTAAAAATCCAACTTGGAAGAACAACAAGATCAACCTTAGGACACACATTTTGTCATACTTTACTAAGACCCTACAGTGTACATGAAGGTTGCCTTCTGAAACCATAAGCAGCCGAAAAGCACAAAAAATCATTGGAGCTGCGTCAGGAGATTTGACAGGTATGTGTTTGAACGGGATTACTGTGATCTCAGTTTCTTTAACCGTCTTTCTCGTGAAAAGAACCGTTAATTTTGAGGTGCGACGTTTGTGATATTATCTTGTAAAAGGTACCAGGTGATATGCCCATCTTGATAAGGATAGATTCTAGAGTCACGAAAGTTTACTCTTATTCATATTCATAGTCTTCAGTTTGTGGATAACGGTGTTACTCCAGGTTCATTTGAATTGTGGTTTTGGAACCTAGTGTTGTCCTAAATGCTTTGTTGAGCGAGTTTCTAAAGGTCTAAGTGAACACGCTGCTATAGTCAGGAACCAATAACAACAAATCAATTTATTCAACAATATCACTTAGAACTAAATTCTACACCAAAACACAGTTAATAAACAAGTGTATGGCCAGAACTTGACACTAATGTTAATAAACAATATATCATAAATATCAATATTATTTAAAATAATGAAATCAGGGAAAAGAACCAGAATGAAAAAACTTAATTCCAAATATATATATATATACAGCTTGTTGTTTGTTTTGAATTTCGCGCAAATCTACACGAGGGCTAGCCATCCCTAATTTAGCAGTGTAAGACTAGAGGGAAGGCAGCTAGTCATCACTACCCACCGCCAACTCTTGGGCTACTCTTTTACCAACGAATAGTGGGATTGACCGTCACATTATAACGCCCCCACGGCTGAAAGGGCGAACATGTTTGGTGTGACGAGGATTCGAACCCGCGACCCTCAGATTGTGAGTCGAGTGCCCTAACCACCTGGCCATGCCGGGCATATATACAGCAAACACAATATACTAAAATTACTTTTCAATATTAATAACAATATCGAGTGATAAACAACAATAGTTCACTAACTATCTCGTGATTCTCTCTCTTAGTGAAGTTTATGGTTGGGTATTTATTGACTGAGTAGATCAGGAGAGTACAACCTCATGCGATAATAAATTTGCTTAATCTTCTGTTATATTAATAATATCTTTACGTCACCGCTAGGGAAGCTAGTGTCAGTTTCGTCATACATACATATTTACTTAAAATACAATTGATTAACTAGAAGGTGATTTAGCGTTTTAAAGCGACTCCAAATTCATAGATAAACTAAAATAGAAGAAAATAATAAATGAACGATAAACACAACCATAATCATAATAAAAAATATAACTTGCTATCTCACAAGTTTTTCCACTATCATCCATTTGAAGCATGAAGATTCTCTTCTTGAAAATGTTTTATTCTTTGGCTCTACAGAATTTAACAGTTTCGCTTTACAAATATAGTTTTTCAGTAATGGCAGTGATGTGCAAGACTAGTCATAATTTTACTGTTTGTGCATTGATTTCTTTATTGTGTTTTGTTTACAACAAAGCTGCTCAAACTATTAACCATGGTCAACTGTTAGGATATTATTTTACTAAAGAATGGTGGGATTAAACATTGAATTATAACGCTCCTTCAGCTGAAAGGGCAAGCAGGTTTGGTGCCAGATTTTGATCCAACAGATCATATTAGATCATCGTGCATGTCGCTGTTGAATATCGAGAATTCGCCATGAACCAAATACAAACACCCACACATATAGGCGCCAAATATGTTGTTCATGGCACCACGTATGTCATTTGTGGTGGCACGTCACTATATTAACATACAAAAATCACTCTTATAAAGTGCATTTAACTCTTTTTATACTGAATATATACCTACTATAACTTACCTCAAAAAGGTCAAGATAAGAAAGGCGACAATCAAAGCTGAAAAGGATACAGCATATCCTATTTTGGATATCAGTTTGATAGCGGATAAATGTGGCTAGAAAAGAATAAAACAAAACTATTGAAACATGGTTGAACAACTAGTTACATAATAAGTGAGCATAATATCTTAAAACTCAATCCATTTGTTGCAGTATCTCTAGATCATCAAGTAAAGCTACACGTTATATGTATATCTTGAATTATCGAGAAAATGTTGATGTCCCTACAACGACTTATAATGTTATTTATGTGAACTCAAATATATTGACAATGAATGGTACCTTCATAAAATTAAGTGGTATACGTGCTATAAAATAAAATTAGCCAATTTTAATTTTATCTATAAGATTTGTCAATAAATCAAAAACAAGAAAGAGTAAAAGAATAAAGTTCTAACAATGAAGTTCGTTTATGGAAAGATTTGCATATACAGAGGCTTAGAATCTTACATTAAAACGATTTGAATATGCAGATCTGCAAATCACATGACAACTACAGCCAATATGAAGGCGCTATTGAACGGAATTTATCAAAAATACATATTTGACATTATTTGGATTTCTATAGGTAGGCGCTATGCCCCCAAAATTGATATATTTTGGGAAATGTTTGTAACAGCCCTTTCTAATGCAAAATATTCATACATTCAAGTTACAAAGATGTGCTCAGATCAAAGATTTTGAATTTCCAAGATGGAGATACCCTTGTAATTAATGACTTTGGAAAACAAAGGAATATGGTACAACTTGGAGTATCAGAACCATCTAGAAAGGAGCCTACAATAAGATGCACCCAAACCATTGTAAGCAAAATACAATATCTTGTAACAGGTGAGAATCCAGAACACAAGATTCAGTGGGAAAAGCCGTCGGTATGTTCAGGAATCAGTTTGCAACATAATCTGTCTGCAAAAGTGATACAAGTCTGGTGTACACAACATGACACATTTGTTCAACTGTCACATACCTTATGGAGCTGAAGAATGAAATGGGTATTCATGATATTCCATACGAACATATATTTGTCAATTCACTGGCATGGATTTATGTAAGATCGAACTTCTGAAATGGATGTTGAGAAACATTCATCCTCTTAGCTTATGGAAAGGAGTAGGGAGTATGGTTGTGCTTTGGACATTAAAGACTTACGATAGAGCCTTTTGCTATGGAAACAAGAGCAATCAGAGAGATTGCATAGCTTCCCCCCGCCGCTCCTTTACGAGATTGCATGAGCTTATATTGGATAACACCAAATTTCACCTTCGAAAACTCAGAAAATTCTTCTCAGGTCCAGAGTAATCAACGATCCGGATTATTTCTTTTAGTGTTATGAGAATTCTCAAGCTTAATGTTCCCATGAAATTTGGTACAAATCCGATCACACTTTACAGAATTATTAAACCAAAACCGCGAAAATGTTCTATCTACCCATAATCAAAAAATGCTTCGAAGTGATCCGGATTCTGATTTGAATGCGGACCAACTTTGGGGAGGACTGTCCCATACTAATTTCTCATGTTGTGTAAGATGTTTGTGTGCATCGATTTTTGAGATACGCGCGCGGAAACACAGACCCAGACACACACTCGCACGGACCCGATTACAATACCCTCGCAGGGGAGCGTAATGATGATGAAGGACTATTTTCAAGTTGCATTGTCATCAGATAGAGCATGTCCAAACGTGGTAACATAGACTGTAACGACGTGGTAAGGCACAAAATTGTTTTTATATAACATACTCAATTTATGTACATATTTGTGGAGCACCAGGAAATAATTGTTTGTTTGTTTATTGGAACTTTTGCCAAAATTATAGAAGGTCTATCTGCATATAGCCGTCCTTAACTTTGACTGTATATATTAAAGGGAAAGCATCTAGTCCATAGTATCCACCACTAACTCTTGGGCTACGCTTGTCTGACTGAATAGTAGAATTTGACTGTCACTCCTCTTACAGTGCATCCACAGTCCCAAAGTATAGAGTGCAGTTCTGTGGCAAGAGGATGAAAACCATAAGCCCTCGGCTTCACAGCCTGGGAACACTAATCAGTAGAACACACACGGCCTTACTATGAAAGAAAGTTGCTTTACACTTATAATGTAATATGAAAGCAAAAGCCTCAACTCTGCATATGGAAAAACTCATACAGAAATACTTTTTCTTTGTTATTTTCGTAGCAATAATAATTTACCAATGTGCAACACAAAATTCGATATATAAGACGAGGACTAAGATATTATGAATAAAAAATGTTTTTTATCCAATCAATAATTTTCAATTAAAATATGGTGTCAGTAAGTTTGTTTATTAAACTGTAGTATATTTAGAAAACGTCAGGAAGTGGCCTTGTGGTTAAAGTGCCAGGCTAAGGCACACAAGAACCAGGCTTGAACCCGTGATATACTGCTGAACATGGTTTAAACTTATGCCTGTAATTCTGATGGTAAATACTACTAGTTGGTTAAGGTTAGGTCTGTCAGCCATTTCTGGTTAAGTTAATGGTAGTCACATGAGACTGTCAACAATCTTTAATATTTTGAATTTTAAACACATATAGATAATTATAAATATACCTGGTAATGCCGTAAATGGTGGAACATGAACCATTCATGTGATCCAAGTACGTAACATTAATCTTACTTTTGTTTTGTGTATTTTGTTACTAACCTTATCACACACTTGGTACAATTTAAATGGCCACCAAACTCCACCAGTTGTGCGATTTCTCGCACATTTAAACTCGATCCATATTTCTCGACAGTGGTTCAGCCAGTTCTTCACAATACTTTGTAACTACAGACAGACAAACACATGGACAACTCTGTTTTATAAATGTGAATAGCCATATTAGTCCGTATATTGGATTTTATAGCAGTACCATGGTTTTACCTATTGTATTGTAAAAGGTACTCAACATTTGTAGTCGATAGTTGCAACTTTGTCCTTTCCTAGCAAGCAGGGCTCAGCATGGCCAGGTGATTAGGGAGCTCGACTCCCCGTCCCACCAAACATGCTCGCCTTTTCAGCCATGGAGGCGTTATAATGTGGCGGTCGATTCCACTATTCGTTGGTAAAAGAGTAGCCCAAGAGTTGGCGGTGAGAGGTGATGACTAGGTGCCTTCCCTCTAGTCTTGCACTGCTAAATTAGAGACGGCTAGCGCAGATAGCCCTCGTGTAACTTTGCGCGAAAATCAAAACAAACAAGTAAATCCTATCAAGCAAAAATATATCTTAATTCTTGTATATTCAGGTAAATTATCTTTACAAGATACAGAAAAAATGGAAGTTTGCACTAAGCTTCTGGCTTAATATTAATCTCACTGTTAGCGATATTTTCAATCAAAATCCCAATAATATCTTATTACGGTCACAACTTGCATCGAAAGGAGTTGCCTCAGTGGAAGGTCGTCAGTGAGTAGATGTTGAAAGAAGTCACCTAGTGAGGTATATAATCTTTGAGGCAGGGAAATCATGTGATCTATAACGCCATGGTACCACCACAGAATGTCATCCAAGGGTGGATATTTCTGAAATGTGTTTTTAGAGAGCGAATTGTTCCAAAGTGTATCACTAGGGGTGAAAATTTACATCATCTATGCCGAATGTTATTAACAGCATGGGCAGATGTTTTATTATGTAATTTACGATTGAACCACCAGATGGTGTTTATTCTGTCTAAACATGAATGTCAACTTGTATCATCTAAAGTGTCGCCAGATGGCACACCTCTAGTCGAATATCAATGTGTCTCAACCTGTAATTGTATCATAGTTCCAGCCTGTAATTATAATATAATGGACATTTGATCTCAACTGTAAAAACTAAAGAAACAATTTTAGTCCTGCATTATTATTATGGTTAACTTTCTACTACACTTTCACATTGATACCTATTCATTCCGTAATAAACATAGCATTTGAATGTGTAAGAGTAATATTATATATTTCATTTATTACAGTTTGAGTATTTGTATAACGTGTTTTATGATTATCAAAATACTAGTTTAACTTACAATTTACAGAGAAGACTGTTTTTTTAATTATTTTATACATCAAACTTTCAAACTCTAGATGTATATCATATAACAGCACAGGCTAAAGTTGTATAATCACAAGGTTCTGCATATGATTATGCACAAATTAGTTTGATTTAAATTGTATGTAGTCCTGAAAAGGACTGTTTTCTATATAAATTTATACAAAAAATTCTAATTCTAGATTTTTGTATTATGTATTATAATCATATGATCATCCACACACTAACTGAACTTACAACCTAAGTAGTCCTGAAAAAGAAGAATGTTTAATGTCGTAGATATTAATATCTGATTGATATAAACTAAAAGTAATACAGTATACCCAAACTTAAAATAGGCAGTGCGACTGTATTCACTTTATCATGACTTACATATCCCTTTTTTGGTTCTTAAATCCTATTGCGTCTGATCTTACACTTAAGTTATTAAACCCCATACGAACATTTCCCTCGAACTAATTACAGGGAAGTATATTACAGTGATATTATGCTATGCCAAAACGTTTTCTAAATGAATTGTTTACTGTAGAACAAATCCAATCACAGATTTTTCTATGATGTAAACAGAATTGATTAAATGGAATAAACAGCAACACTTAACGTTTTAAGTTTTTTGTCGAAAAGGTAGCATCAGATAGGATATTACAACTCCTATTTTGTTTTTCTGCAGAACATTTGTGATTCACATTGAAATACAAGTATATTGTTTGTTTGTAATTAAACACAAAGCTACACAATGGGCTATCTGTGCTCTGCCCACCACGGGTATCGAAACCCGGAATTCTAGCGTTGTAAGTCTGCAGACATACCGCTGTGCCACTGGTGGGGGGGGGGGGGGGGCGAAATACAAGTATAAAACACTAAGTCTTTCTTCATTGAATTATTGAGACATCTGGTCATTATAACGTTTTGTGCTAAAACAAAAACAACATATGACACAGATTTAAAATTTACAAAACTTTATAATTTTACACTGGAACGTTTTTCATATAAAATTATCAAACTGTTTAAAAATGAACCTACAAACAGAAACACTACTGACTTGTTCCACATACACTCTGATACTAATCATGTAAAGGTCAGTCACAATTGACTTGTAACAAGTCTCATTCTTTAAAATTCACAGCATATTCCATGAACTCTAGGCTTCAAGTGTGTTATAGTAGTCATTGCAAATGTTTCGTGTGCACACATATTTAAAATTTGTTTAATTCATGTACCACATTTGCTTATAGTCTATTTTAGAAATGATAAACACGTTTTCATTTTAATATGTACAAAACTATAAAATATTGGAAAAACGTTTTGTATAATACAAACAAAATTATTTATTTCGTGTAAAACAAAAAATCAGCTTTTAGTATTATTTCACAAACATAGCAGTACCAATCTGGTTGTTTGTAGTTAAGCACAAAGCTACACAATTGGCTATCTGTGCTCTGCCCACCATGGGTATCGAAACCTGGTTTCTAGTGGTATAAGTACAAACATAGCAGTACCAGTCTTCGATGGCCTGGCATGGCCAGGTGATTAGGGCGCTCGAATCGCAATCTGAGGGTCACGGGTTCGAATCCCCATCACCGTACATGCTCGCCCCTTTCAGCCGTGGGGGCGTTATAATGTGACGTTCAATTCCACTATCTGTTGGTAAAAGAGTAGCCCAAGAGTAGGCGGTGGGTGGTGATGAATAAATGCCTTCCCTGTAGTCTTCCACCGCTAAAACTTATTCAGAATGTAAGAAATCAACGTGAACAACACGACTTAAAAACTAATGATAAAAGGCTTTATATACCAAACATATGTACTTTAGTAACATTGTTAACATAGTTTTTTTGTGAAACTATTATTAATTCATGTTAAATATTCGTTCACATTGTGCATTAAACAATAAATTTATGTTAACCATGTATGACAAAAGATTTCAGTTCAATAGGAAAGTAGGATCATACAGTTTCAACTTTGTTTATAAATCATAAGTATCTATTTGCACAAATTTTGTATTTCTCTATCACATTTAATATTTTCAGCTTATCTGTATAAAACATGTTTTACAGCAAAAAGATTGTTTGCTTATTAAACGTTAAGAGTTAAGTTTAACCTAATTATTTGATGAAAGAATTTTGTATGTTAGTTTATTATAATATAATTAGTTTATTAAATCATTCGGTTTACACAATGTTTTGACTTTTCAT